CAGATGGTGCTAAGCTGTACCACTGGAGAAGAGCAGCTGATGAGGGAAAAGAATATCCTTTTGCAAGGTTTAACAAGGTATATGACTTTAGGGTCTCATTTTTTGTACCTTTCTGTGGCATTGTCAATGAGACAGTTCAGAGGAATTTTGTACAGGAGTCACTTTCATACCACAGTTTCACTAAAACTGTCTCCAGGTGGACAATGAGAGAGTAAAGAGCTTATATATTTATACCTCTTACTAACCAAGTTTGAGGTCTATACTGTAAGTTACAGACCAAGTAAAAATTTTCTCCCTTTGATTTGTGGCCCAATCATGACATGCAGAAAACATAAATCAAAGGGGAAAAACAAGGATCTTTAACTTACAATATGGACTGAGAAGACAAGGTATTTATCTACTCAGTGTGTGTTGGACAGGTACGGTAGGCCATTTCAAGTCATGCAGAGAAGAAGACAAGGAATCTAGAATAGCTTCAAATGATTGATGTATGTCAAAATCGAAGCAATTCAATTTGAAGTTGTTGCTAAGTCATTAGCTTGCTTCAATACATGTCATCAAAATTATTCAAGGAAATAAAACATTTTTTTTCTTGTTTATTTGCTATGAATGTAAAGAGAACTTGGCAATAGATCATGAGAAATTTTGGCAATAAAAAGTGCCTCAGATTTTAGCAGCCATACTGTAGAATACAGCTTGCTTATTGACCAATTAAAGTGCACATAGTAACTGAGAGATTTTCTAGGGAAGAGTAGTGAGTGCAAGATATATATTAAACGATTAGAAGTAGTGTATGTATAGGTGGGTAGGTGAAACCAGTTTTTGTAGATCTGGGGGGGAGTATTCCCTTATATGGGCTATATAGAAATGTGCACCCCTAAGGGCAGATGTTTTTGTCCTAAATAGGGTATTGATTTTGGTCATTTTGGTCATAAATAGGGTATGGTTTTTGCACTGTAGTCTTGATATGGGTATGTTTTTAAGAAGAAGCTACTTTCTCATCATGATCAATAAGACCATCAACAAAAACCCTTCACAAATTATGTTTATGGCAATTTAACATGGGTCTGAAATAGGGAACTAATGATAAGGCCAGTCTGAAATAAAGTTTAATCATGGTAGAAATTCTTATTGTCTCACAAAATTATTTAATGTTTCGTCATTCAAATACTATAAATTAGGTGTGTTGAGGTTAGTTTGTTTAAGATTCTCTTAATTTTGCAGTGGACCACACAAATCTTTTATCTCTTTTGGACTATCAGGGCTGTGACATGTAAGATTATAATTGCTTTTGCCTGTCCAGGACCTTGTCATTGTTCCATGCTCCTTTAAGTAAAATCTTCCCATGCACACTATATGTAACCATTAAGATTATAAAATGTAATATCCCAAAATACTCTTAGCTATTTTTGTTTTGGTCTAACATGCCACAATACATGCACTTTAAAAGGCAAAACTAACAGATGAGTGTTTCCTTCACTGAATTACCAACCTTTGTGTTATCTTAACTACATGTAGCTAATGTGAAGGGCAGAAAAATTAGTTCCAGCAAGTCATTAATGGTTTTGGATTTACTTCTGATTAGATGACAGAGGGGCACAAGCTTTTTAAGCCATTCATGTTGTGGTAATTCAAAACCAAAGAAAATGCAAATTACTTTCCACACTCAAGTGAAAAGTGTTCTGGGACCTAACAAGTTTCATGGAAAAGCAGTGTATTATGATTCCACAGTATTGGTCATTTTTCAATGTATTAATTGAGATTGACAGTTTTCTCACCTTTCCGCTTTTCACCCAATGGTATTTCACTTCGCTCAGACGAAGCAGAAATGAAAAAATTACAGAGATCAGGGTAGGCTCACTTTCTTGGCGCCACTTCACCAGACTCCTTCCCACCGGATCACTTTGCTCTTTGCCACTCATGCGTGTGACTCAAATGTGAGCCTGCTCACAGGCTAGGGACTTCTTGTTAAATTAGAAACAGGCTGAATTTACAATAAGTTTGCTTAAGCTGCAAGTGGACAGGGTGTAGAAAGCAAAGGAGAATAAGCTGTCACTTTAGGAAGTGCATTAATATATACCTCTTACTAACGTCATCTTCTCGGTCGGTACTGTAAGTTACAGACCGAGTTTTTTCCCCTTTGCGCTTGGGCCATAAATCAAGGGGGGGAAAACGAGGGTCCATAACTTACAGTATGCACCAAGAAGACGAGGTTAGTAAGATATTTATTATATCTCTACTGTGTGCCTGACGGCTTCAGAAACAATTTCTATTCACGTGGACTTGGAAAGGCTTCAAATTTCTGACACACCTCGAAAGCAAAACGAGTCAGTTTGAAACTGTTTTTAAGTCGTTAGCATGCTTTATTACATAATTTAGAGTAGAAGAAAGTTTCAAACTTTCACTTGCTTTAAAAGTTAAGAACACTTATCGATAAATCACGAGACAGTTTGGCAACAAAACCAACTGTAAAATTTAGCGGGCCGTACAGGAGAGTATGGTCCGCTAAACTGACCAATCACAGTGCACATACTAATTGAGAGATGTAATAATATTAGTTCAATGACAAAAGTTCTTTGGTTTGACCAGCTGACTACAGATTTGCTGTATTGGAATCAAAGCGATGGACTTCTTTAACTTGGGTTGATAAGTCAACTTATTACATGTCAAATAAAGTAGCGGACCAGCCTTTTCCTCAGCATGTACTCAACCTCTGGGACATTCAGTTTGAATGATCCTGCATTATTTTTCTTGAGGATTTTTAGTTGTGTAGTAAGTCTCTTATAACCAAGCTTGCTCAGGACTGTACTGGAGAATATCGGCCCACCGTCTTGTTTCTACGGACCTTACTGGGCTCAGTCTGTGCTGTCAAGACCTTGGCCCAATATTCTCCCAGTACAGCCCTTACTCTTGGTTAATAAGCTATATTTATGAATATTATTTTTTTATTGTTTCAGACTCGTACAATTGAAGAGTTAAAGGATCGCTACTATAGCTGTGTTACAAGGTTACTCAAGGTAAATGGCACCTTAGCAGGCTGTAACAGTCATGTCCTCCTTCTGGGTTAGCAAGAACCTTCATCATTAGGCAAACAATGTTTCAGGTCATAACTGTTGTTTCATACTATACCATACTTGTAATAATGAAATTGTGCGGAATACATTTTACCACTTTCAGTTTATTATAGCTTGAAAAAGCATGATTTTCTTGGCACTGAAGAGGGGTTGGGATTTACATGTCACACATAGAATAAAGAATTTTGTACACAAAGGTACAACATAGTGTGGTCTTTGTATACTGTACCATCCTTCTTGATAATAATCACTTGCAAGAACATTAATTTTCAAATACATTATTGATTTATAAGAATTGTATGACTGTTATAAAGCTGGTTTAATTTTGGGCTTATTATTACAGGCTCGAGCCCCCCCAGGGCAAGAACCACAGAATTTGCCTGCACCATATGACAGTCAGCATGAAACAGAGAGAAAAAGACAACTTCTGAAGCTGTTTAACCGTACTCAAGAACAGGTACATTGTACAGCTGCCAACCATGTCAGCTTCTTTGATGCTCAGATGGGCCATTGGGAAAATTTTCCCATTAAATTTTCCCTTTTAACTAAATTAATCATGAACATGTGAGATAAAGCATTTTTTTAAAGCACAATAGCCACAAACATTTCACAAGTATTTGACAATTATTGTTTGCTTTTGTATAAATTTAACTTGTGATTGTTATTTCAATAATCATCTGGGCTGGGTTGTTCAAAAGCCAGTTACCCCAGGGCTAAAAGTTAACTTAAGTGTGTAAAAAATGTTTTTCACTGCTTATGTTTTGTGTAGTTTAAGATTATTCAAATTCAAAATGGAAGGACAAACAATATGAACAGAAAACCTCACTGAAAGGTTTTTTAACTGAAATCTTAATTCTCACTAATCTTGGGTTACAACCCAGCCCTGAATAATAAGACAGATGCAGTCAGAGATTGAAGGTTTTAGCTGTATTGCCTACATGTATTGTTTTCATATTGATACTAAAGCTGATCACTAAATTGCTCCTAAGTGTCAGCACAAAGTAACATTACACAGGGCCATACTGACAGAGGGGAAAATATGTGAACAGTGATTTATAATGACCAGCCCTGTACAGTGTAGGTTCACTCTAAGTGACTGCCATTCAACTTCAGTGACAAACCCTACTGTTGTTTGAAGAAATTAAATACATTGTTTTTCTGTTCCTTAAATCATTTTCTTGAGAAGAGTTGAACCCTCAGGAAGCACAACATGGATGATAAGGATATGTTTGTTTAAGGTTGACCTCTGTTAAGTTTTTTCAGAACTTAACATTTCTTTTGGATTTACCAGCCCTTATATTTTGCTACTTCCAGGTGGCTGCAACTTTCGGGGGTTGCTACTTTTGGATAGCAAGGCAAAACATGTAACACTTGTGAACTATAACTATTTGCCAAGTGGAGAGTCTGCCTTTAGGTTAGGGCATGATGATGTAGGAATGTCCAGAATAGAGTACATGTA